GGTATAAAATGAAGCTAAAATCAAGAATCAAGGCGACTAAAATTGGACAAACCTGCCCTCTTGTAAACTTAATTAAAGATAGCGACCATTAAGAAGAAAATTCAATATTCAGATGATAACCTAGGAAAAGGCAATACTCTTCACCAGCCTGCCGACGCAATACGATAAGTTTGACTTACTAGATTTATTGGGAGTTTACTGCATATAGTGTGACAACTGTGAAAAAGGAAACAAAACAGCCAAAAAATCACGGAACATCAGGCATGGATACGAAAAGATCCGAAATAGTGGAACACATGGCACGCAGAAGACATGTAATCGACTGACAATTGACGGAAAGGCGGTCCGCAATTTTGAAAATACAAGAAAACGCAAGTTTCGAGAGGCGATGGATATATAATGAACAGGGGACTAGAAAGCAAAATTAGCGAAACAATTGCATATTGCCTAAGCAGATTCAGGGGAGATCAAAGAACAGCGAGCTCAGGAAAATAAAGACGACTTGCTCAAGGAAATATTATAGGCGCGAGAAGAATAAATTCCAAGAATACCACCGAGGGACAATCGAAAACGAAGAAGAGACGTCCGAAGTGAGCCTAGTCAAAGCAGGTTAAATAACAATAATATTTGGGGGTTGACACACAAAAGAGTATGGCATAGGAAAGTCATAGGCCTCGCATTATGGATAGAAGTGCGATAGATGTAGCGGAGAACAGAGATAATTGGCTCGCCGTACATGGGTTTGATGGTAGACGTGATCCGAGAAGTAAAGGCTTGACAACAAAATGTAACCGGTACATATTTCAAACAATGATAAGGGAATATGGATCGTTGAGTTATTTTCTAATCCAGCTTGAAAATCCAAATTTTGGTCGCATGCTCAGTAAAAATAGTGCCTCAAGAAGCATGGATGTAGAGGAGGTGAATGGGGGAACCAGCAGGGAGCATACATGGGTCTCACTAAATCCGTTCACAGGAGAACATCTAAGCTATATTTAAATAAGCAAGAACAAATTGTGAGAGTGAAGGTGATTATACGAGATAATGGGATAGGTGAATGCCCCAGCAGACAAATGGTCAAAGGATCGACTTCACTTGTCTCTGACGAGTTAGTATGGTGCTAATAATGGTGAGGCTCACTGACGATGCAGAATACGAAGCTGGCGAAAGGCCTGTGAATATAGCAAGTATATGATCAGACTCTGAAAATTATCGTGTATACTATGGACTACGAAGATGATATGTTTCTCTAGGTCTCATTGGCGAAGCGACCAAGTTGCAAAAACAAGCTCAAATCACTATAATAATCACTAAGATTTGCTTCTACGTAGAAAAATCTAGTCAAATCCAGTGCGTAATGTTCTCTCGGTAAAAAAAATTTATCCCGACGCTAAATTAAGCCCTGTAGTATGTAATAATCACCTGAATTTGCATTATCACAGAAGTTTTACCTGCTCGGAAACTGAAAAAGTTAGATAGTATGATATATTCAAATGTCTATAAAGGTATAATTTTACTTGAATAAAGTCATCAAAATCAGACGTTTTGTAGGTATGATTAAGTGTAAGGAAATAAAAATACGCTCACTTTATGTGCTGGAAGTAGTTTGCGTTCTCCTGCCTCAACGCGTTTTAGAGCGTTAATGAGAGATGTTTTGCCAGCACCCCGGGGACCCAGTACGATGAGGCGAATCCGATCAATGGGCTTCGGCATAATCTGAGAACTTTTAAGTCGAAAGG